TATATATACTGTATATACTGTATTATTTTAATATATTTTAAAATGTCATTTATTCCAGTGATGTCAATGCTGAATTTTTTAGCAGTCATTACTCCAGTCTTCAGCGTCACATGAACCTTCAGAAATAATTCTAATATGCTGATTTGATGCTCAAGAAACTTTATTACTGAAAATAGTTGTGTTGCTTAATAGTTTTGTAGAGACTCTAATTTTTTTTTTTCAGGATTCTCTGATGAGTAGAAAGTTAAAAATAATGGTTTACTTGAAATAGAAATCTTTAGATTAAAGATGTCTTAATGTTTTGATTAATTTAATGTGTCCTTACTGAATAAAAGATTAATTTATTTTAAAAACTTACTGACCCCAAACATTTGACCAGAAGTATAAAAGATTAAGAACACTATTTCGGTAAATGTCGACAATAAATATGACACGTTTGTGCAGACAAGCAAAACACATAATCAGACATCCAAACCTAATGATGTGATTGATGACAATAGGGTCGGGGGGAAGTAAAAGGTTGGTGAGGCGCTGTGGAATTTCAGAGAACTTCAGACGTGGACAGTCAAAGATCTGTGAGAGGAGATGAGGCCAGAAACACAAAAAGTTCTTGATTAAAATACAGTATACTGGCTTTAGATAATAATTCCAACATGTTTCTACGAACTTCGGCAATGTTATTTTAAATATCAAACACATTATAGGGGTTTATGTGAGGCTGATTCATTAATTAATTACAGATTGTGATGAATGTTAATCAATGTTTCCAATCAAGTGTACCTGTTGGAAGTACTTGTCACAGTTGATGTACTCCTTGTCATGAGAATCCTGCAGTTTGTTGGTTTTGACATACTGCCAGAGGGCCTGTATGATACTGGAGCGAGTCTGTGTGTGTATTCCCAGCAGACGAGCCAGACGCGGATCCAGTTTAAACTGAGGTGGCTGCACACAGAACACAAGACTCTCAGATAAATAATGCTTTTCAGTCACTGTTCAGTCAGTGTGTACCTTCATTTCATTTCATGAGTACTGACACATGCTTACATTTAATTAACTATTAATAATTTAATACATGATTAAGTTTAATTAACTTCTAATCTAAAAAAGTAGGCACAGTAGAAGAATATTTATCTATTCTGACTGTGATAAAATAAAACATCACAAAATTATTACTAAGTAGACCTGCTACTCACAGAGTTCCTGTTCTAATATACTCATATATGTGATAGGCACCCTTCACTATTATGTTGTTTCATCAACTTATTACTTCAATGAAACTCAAGGCTTCAAGGTCTGAAAGAAATTTATAATCAAAAAGAAAATCCAAAAAAAAAAAATGTTCCAAAATTTGACGTCATACAATTGCATTTTGCACCATGTTGCAGTTCTTGATCAGTAGTCTTCAGTTAATATATAAGTAAACATTACTACATGCATTTTGTTGCCTTTACCTGGTAATCCAGCATTAGCAGCAGGGTGCAGCGCACGCTCACATCTCCAGGCCTCTTCACCTGGAAACCGTCTGTCTCCTGAGTGGTTGGGGTACGATGCCACTGCAGAAAAAAAAAAGAAAAAAGGAAATCAACATGCTTGCACACACTTACAAAGAAAAAAAACAGAAAAATAAATGACAATCACTGAATGACAATATCACCACACATCTTACTGAACAAAGAGCTATATAGCATGTTTATATATGAACTATACTGAAAAATTGTGTATGCGCGACATATATGCAGTTAAAATATAAGATACTTATTGTGGTTTTAGTTCTTGGTTTTAAGAATTTCCATTATGAAAAAATGTGTTTCACTGTCATTTAGAGTGATAAGCAGGATATCAAACACCAACCTCAACCAAATGGTTATCAGGGCCGTAAAGGTCTTTGTCAAGCTCAATCACCAGACTCTTGAAGAATGAGGAGAACTTCCTCTTCATCTTTCCCGGCTGTACAAGAAAGCAGGAATACTGTTTTCAGTGTGTGCCACTGAGCAAACTATCCAGTTTCAAGGATGAAGACATTGTTGGAAAACAAGAACTTCAAGCACCACATCATAAACTTTCCTGGTAGACTTTCCATGAAAGAGAACGGCTGAATTTCAAATGTGGCATACTGTGGCGGATGATTTGCTGAGCAGGACAACATTCCATTCAGCCCAGAGGCAGCATGAGTCCCTCAAGCTATCATCAATAAGTACTAGTTTTATTTCTTTGGGGATGGAAAAGCATGCCTCAAGTGTATTAGCAAAACTTATCTTGGTTAGAGACTGACCCAAGAGGCTGGATTTATGCTGCACTGCGTAAACTCTTAAGAATTTCGTCCCAATGATGCTTCAGCTGCAATCACATGAATCAAACCGGTACTTTAGCTGGTATTTCAGATCATAAACCAAAAGACGCATTTTACAAAGTAAAAATAAATAAATAAATAAATGTCTGATTGCACTGATGACAGCTATCTTCAGTTATTATTCTATTATCTTTACATAGGTAGTTGATATCATTACATAGATATGAAGGTCATGAAGGTCAAAGTATTTTTTGGTACTTGTACAGGTCAGGTACTAATAAACGCATGTTTTTTGCATGTTTAGCCATGCTCCAATGCCTTTGTGGCTAGAGATGAAGGGAACATGCTTGAGCAAAAACAAACGCGCAATGAGCCTCAGCTTTTAATAGTTAAGTTCTATTTAATCATACTGATGGAAACCACTAAACAGATTTAAGGTCGATGTCAAACATAAAATATAATTATGCAATGCCAAATTACAGATAGCAGGCAAGTAAACTTAACCTTCATTTTAAAGGGGGAAACATTTTCTGGTAACTTCTGGTTATCCGTTACTAATGTAATTTCTGTAGGTGGAGTTTGCTGCATATAAACAGCACTTCATGAATCGTTATGTCACGTCCCTTCCTGGTATATCACAGCGACACCAAGATGAGCCCCAGATACAGATCCCCAGTAAAGACCTGGTCTCAGACGGCCACCGGGACAAGACCACAGGAGCCAGTTGAGTCCTCTGCACAATGTGATTTTGCTGCAGCCTGGAATTGAACTACTGGTTTTGTCTGGCCAGAGGAGAACTGGCCCCCCGACTGAGCCTGGTTTCTCCCAAGGTTTTTTCTCCATTCTGTCACCGATGGAGTTTTGGTTCCTTGCCGCTGTCGCCTCTGGCTTGCTTAGTTGGGGACACTTCATTTCCAGCGATATCGTTGACTTGATTGCACAGATACTATTTAAACTGATGAACTGCCTTTAACTGAAAAATGAGTGTTTACTATTGTCACTTTGCATTAGTGACACACTATTTTCCTAATTAATGCTGTACAGTTGCTTTGACACAATCTGTATTGTTAAAAGTGCTATATAAATAAAGGTGACTTGACTTGACTTGACCATGCAAAAGCAACAGGGTGGGAAGGTAAATAATTTTTTTTCAAAATGGGAAGGTTATACACTTCAAAAGTGTGATCGCTGCATATTTTGAACATTTATTCTGGGTGATGTACACTTGCCTGCTAGACTGCCATTATGTGCATTCTTTTTAGGTTGAATTTTCCTTGTGAAAATAAAAGCATGCCACAAATGCTGACAGAGTTTCAGATTTAATTAACCGAGAATATTCCTTTAAGATACGCATTATTGGTTAAAAGGGTGCATGGCATACAACTATCAAAAGAGCAAAGTAAGGAAAAACAGTCCAAGTCAAGGGACCCACAGAACTTTCTGGCGCGTATGTTTGGCTGGAGGCTGGGAAGTGATCTCACTGGTAAGTGAGGCACATGTCTGTGGTCAAGACTCGGAGCCTGGAAGAGTAAATTTAACCTCACTAATTCAAAATGCACATAGCTGCCATTCACAAGGTATGACGTCACAGACAAAAAGCACATGATCAAACATTGCAGACAGTTTATTTGTGATACAATAATTATACTTTTTACCAATAAAAGCCCCAAAACAAGAGCACCAGCACCTCTGTGTTTCATAGTAAAGGACTTAAATTAAATATGTGTTGTCCAATTATTGATTTAAGTACAATTGACTCACATCATCCAGCAGTTTGCCCTCCACACGTAGCTCCCAGGATGCAATGCTACCTTCAGAGTCCTCTGCATCAGGCTTGGCAGGGTTAAATGTGTTGGAGATGTAGAGACGCAGTTTTCGCTTTTGCTTCAAATAGGAAAAAAAATGAGTCAATTCTGAATATTTATCTTTATTCATTCCTCAAAATGATATTAGTCCTGTGCGCTCACAAAAACACAGAGGAATTATGTTGGGAAAATCATTTTAAGCTGATAAGTGGTAAAATATGAGAAGCTAAACACAAGAATAATAACACCAGCCTCATTTGATGCTCATTTAAGTTGTTTGGTGTCTTATCCTGTTGATTTATGCAAGCAATATTTAAAATGGTTCAATAAGAGACGACTAGACTGCAGGTGAAAATGCTTGTTCCAAGGTTCCTTGTGCCTGCTTGAAATTGTCTGATATATTATCCACCTTATTTTTCAACACAGAAGTAAGCTGTTTTCTGTGAATGTGCGAGACTTCCGATTCATTAGCCACTATAGGGAAATAACGAGAAGAATTTCAAAGTGCAGTAGATTGTAAAACTATATGAGCTACAAATCAGTGTGTTTATAATTAAGACAATACATTAAAATAACATGGTAAAAAATACCAGTTTGCAGTTTCAAGCAGCATAAGAAGCTGTTTTTTAACAGCTAAAAATAGCTGGAATCAAATGACACCGGAAGCGAGACACATTAAATTTAAAAATAGCCTTGGCCAATCTAATGTTAAAAATAAGGTGGATTGGTTAACAAAAGTAAAAGTGCAAACACATATATATTTTTTAAAAGAGGTTAAGTAAAACAGTCTGTCCTGGAAAATTAAATTAAAAGAACATATGGATCTTGAGGATGAGAAATACCTTCATGGGTCTCTTAAGTGCCTCTTGGATGTCCACCCGTTTGCGCATTATGGTCTGGTCTAATTTACGCTCGAATGCCAACAGATCCATATACGCCTGTGACTCCGGAACAAGCTCACGAATCTGAAGAAGGAAATCAGTAAAACTTCATTTTGCAAATGGGAGCACTGGTAAACAAATTCAAACTATCCTAGTTATTTTCCTTGTTCTGTGTACAATAGACAGAGTGTTTCGTCAATGACTAATGCGTCTGGCATCTCCACTGGAGTTGTATCTATCTATAAGGCCTGATAAAACGCACATAATGCTGCTTATCTTATCTAACACAACCAACTCATAGCAACACAGTGACTATAAAAACCTAAGAACAGAATCATTCATATAATATTTAAACCCTATTAAATGATAAAAAAATAGATTTTCAACAATAGCCATCACCATGAACCCACAGCAGTAATGTGGTCTTATATTTTAGATTATTTATTATTTATTGTAATATTAGAATATCTCAGAATATGAGATACAGTTGGAAGCTGACCTTAACTAGAACAGATATTTTGCAGAAAAAAATCTAGATACTCTTTGCAATATACAATATATTTCTAAAAATGACCTGCTGTCAGTATAGAGTATATCTGCATTGTCTAACTGAGGTGACAATTACTGAATGCAAAAGCCCCCCAAAACATTTCTGTCTACCGTATCGCTTGCTTGGTAGAGGTTTCCACCCCTCTAAAAGGCCGAGATAGAGAACAGATGCGCACACCCGTGCATCTTCATCCGTGCACATTTGCACACACAAAAAAAACCCAGCTAAACCAATGAAAGCAATGAAAAGGCTCAGATCTCTTACTCACCCTTTGTGGAAGGATCTTATCAGCCATCTTCCTCCTCTTGGCACTGCATAAAGGGGAGAAAGGGGAAACGGAGAGGAAAGGCAGAAAAAACCCCAAGATGTTACTATGGAGACTGACAGTGGAGCACCCGGGACATCTGCTAAAATTCTGGGGCTGGTCCACCCAGATGGTGCTGGCAACCATTGGCACAGAGGACGTTACTAGAATCAACTAGAATCATTACTGCTCAAACTTCACAAGTTGAAGCTTGGAAAGCAGCAGAGATTCATAGGACCTGCTCATGATGTGCAGACAGGTGTGTCAATATGGCTGTGTTGTGCATACAAGTATATCTGTGCTCATATATGAATGCACTTCTATTTCTTTGAGCACAACAATTAGCATTATTTTGGTGCTTTTCCTTGTGCGTTTTTCTCCATTTCACATAAGATATGCGCAAAACTGCTAGTTGAGAGAGCTGTGTGTGGCATTACCTGTGAAAGCAAATAATCATTGGTCCTGTTAACTAGACTGAAAAGAGTGCTGTGTGGCATGTGTTCATTCCCCATCATAAAAAAGAGCTTTGTACACTCAAAAGCAGGATCCGTACAGGTGACCATCACCAAAACAAACACTGCGAGAAGATCAGGAAAACAATGACCAAATACAATTTTTGTTATTATTTCAGCACACTTTTCACCCACTTAATATATTTATTCAATCAACTAAAATGCACAAATCAGTCAGCCTGACTTATTAATACATGTTTAGTTATTTGTGAAAACATTTAGATTTGACACTTTACACTGAAGTGTAAAACAAGCTCTCACATACTGCCTTCATGCCATGCAACAGGACATGCAAGCGCATCCATGCTAAATCCAGGAAAATATTTAATAGCATTAAAACTTTAACCTCAATATATTAATATTATTATAATACCTTTGATTTTATAATGTCTTTGACTCAAATGACGTTAGGTCTCAATACATGACTAACATCAGCTGATCTGTAACTCAATAAATGAAATCATTGCTGTATGAAGGAATAATCTTTGATAATAACCATTAAACATCAATCAGAGGTGAAGGGGGGTAACCTTTATTAGGGATATGTCTTTGGAGGCAAGATATGCTAGGGTAAGAGGGGGCAAGGGGTCAAGGCTTGGGACAAAGGTGGGATCAAAATGTGTGAATCCATCATGCAGCAGAATAAACTCCTACTTTGATCCGAGTGTGGGATCTGATTGGGCCTCTCTCATCTGTCTCCCTGGCATCTTATTTGGTCCAGGAAATCCAACAGGCTTCCTATGAGTTGATGGCATTTGAAGGGTCCTTCATTAGACGGTACTGAGTGTGTTTGTATGCGTTGCAAGAACATGTGTTTGTATGCAAATTTTGAACTGCTGAATATGTTGGGGACACATTACAAAAAGCTGAATACACAAAACAGACAACATGGGAGTTGTACAAGAAACAGCAGAAGTATAGGACAAAAGATCTGATATGCCAATGTGTGGTTATTACACAAACACACACACACACACACACACACACACACACACACACACACACACACACTTATATATTTTTTTCTGT